GCCCCATGCTTCTTTCTGATCTCTGAGCCAGGGTTGTTTTCTTGGGTTGAGGTTTCCAAAACTCTAGATGGCCTTGCAGATCCACCATCTCATCGATAAGCATGGCTATCTCCCAGCAGGGACCACTTTATCTCTGAGGACTGCTGGCTCATGATAAAGTAGCATTTTATTCAAGTTCCCATTTAAAAAGAAAAGGAATGAAAAGGTCAGGCTCAGTGGCTCAGCCTGTAATTCCGCACCTTGGGAGGCTGAGGTGAGTGGATTGCCTGAGCCCGCGGGTTCGAGACCCTCCTGGGCAACTTGGCGAGACCTCATCTCTACAATAAATCAAAATGAGCCGGGCGTGGTAGCGCGCGCCTGTAGTTCCAGCTACTTGGAAGGCTGAGGCGGAAGGATCACCTGAGCCCAGCAGGTCGAGGCTGCGGTGGCCGGGAGTGGCCACTGCACTCCAGTCTGGGTGACAGAATGAGACGCAAAAAAAAAAAAAAAAAAAAAGAATGAATGAATGAAAAAGAATTTGCTCATAATAACAGCTGTCATTGAGTAAGCACCTACTATGTGCCAGGCATCATATTCTGCTCTCTACACATGATCTGGTTTAATTATCACAAGAGCCCTATAGTAATAACTACAATTATTATCTCCATTTTTCAGATGGGCAAACTGTAGATAAGAGAAATGAAATAACATGTTCAAAGTAAGAAAGTGAGAAAAAAAAGTAGAACCCAAATTTGAACCCACTACTGTCTGACTTCCAAGAGTGCACCCATTTCTCTAGCTGCCCTACTACCCTTACATAATCTTTCTTCCAGCCTAGTAATACAGAGATTCTTATCATCACCCCCCAGGACAGATGAAGGACTGAACCTCAGCAAAGCTGATAATGTTGTTGTTCTCAGAAGCAGAGAGAGGGTGGCTGTCATCTCCTCCATTTGCCCGGGGTCATGCTGAGCTTAAGAACACAAGACCAGGTAACAGAAGGGATTCAAACTGAGGCTGAAATACTCGTTAGCTTTGGCTGTTATCTTTTTGGCTTTAAGATGGGGATGGTGATAATAACAGTATCTAGTTTTAGGACTGTTTGTAAGGATTGAGCTAGATAAAGAATGTGAAGTTCTGAGGACATGGGAAATGTCATTACTTAAAGCTCATCTGTCTTTGCCTCAGAGGTTTAGATTGTGTTCAGATGTTTGACATGTTACCCTAATTAATTATGTGTACCAGTGCTTCTGAACCTGGCTGATGTCAGAATTATCTGCCTTAAACATACCCCATAGCCGGGCTTGGTGGCTCAGCCTGTAATCCCACGCCTTTGGGAAGCTGATACAAGTGGATTGCCTGAGCCCGCGGGTTCGAGACCCACCTGGGCAACTTGGCAAGACCTCATCTCTACAATAAATCAAAATGAGCCGGGCGTGGTAGCGCGCGCCTGTAGTTCCAGCTACTTGGAAGGCTGAGGCGGAAGGATTGCCGGAGCCCAGCAGGTCGAGGCTGTGGTGGCCGGGAGCGGCCACTGCACTCCAGTCTGGGCGACAGAGTGAGACTCCAACTCAAACAAACAAACAAAAAACACACCCCATGCTCAGGCCCCATCCCGGGAGATTTTTATTTAGGAAGACTGGGGTGGAGCCTGAGCCTTTTTATGTTTAATGAATTCTTAGGTAATTCTGATGGCACAGCCAGGTTTGGGGGGAACCAATCTACTGGCATAGACATCTCAGCCACAGTGAGGAAAGAACTCTGATTTCTCTTCAAGTCCCCTTTCTTATCACCACCAGCACCCCTTTTTCCCAGGTCTTCCCAGTGGCTTAGGAGTTCTCTCCCCAAATCAAGAACTTTTGGCCTAGCAGTGAGTCAGCGGTGCCTAGACTCTGATGGAGCTGCGTTTCCAAAGGCCTGGGAACCCAGCACGAGCTGGGAAGGGTTTCTGCTCCGGATTTGTCCCCTTATGACTCACTGATGGCCCGGGGCCAGTCTCTGAGCCTCAGTTTGTTCACGGTCAATAGACGATCAATAAAAGCAGAGTTACCCATTTGAACTCTGCTTCCTTTGGATTGTGTCCCTGGCATTTGACAGCCAGGGAGCAGGTGGGGGAGACCCAAGCAGGAGGCGGGGTAGATATGGAGGCATGCTGCCTAACAGTGCTGTCTCACTGACATCTCATTGGATTCTCCCAATAATGGGGAATAAAATACAGGGTATACCTTGGCTTATAACATCCTCTATTGGCTGGGATCGATAGCTCAGCCTGTAATCCCAGCGCTTTGGGAGGCCGAGGTGAGTGGATTGCCTGAGCCTGAAGGTTCGAGACCCGCCTGGGCAACTTGGCGAGACCTCATCTCTACAATAAATCAAAAATTAGCCGGGTGTGGTAGCGCATGCCTGTAATTTCGGCTACTTGGAAGGCTGAGGCAGAAGGATTGCCAGAGCCCAGTGGGTCACTGCACTCCAGTCTGGGCGACAGAGTGAGACTCCAACTCAAAAAAAAAAAAAATCCTCTATTATCTGTCCCTAACCGTTGTTACAATATCATCTCACATCGCTCCTTTTCTTGACTTCTCGCTATTCCTTGAATGCTCTGAGTTGAGCTTGTTTCCACCTCAGAGTTTTTGCACCATTTGCACAACTTAGGATGCTTTTGCCATGGATGATCACAAGTCTAATTCCTTCTTTTCATTCAGGCCTCAGCTTACATACCATCTGCTCAGTCACCAAATCTAAAGTATCACCCTGGGTACTGGGACACATGATCCTATAGCAAATCATTGTATTTTAACTTTCATATCAGCACCTATCACTAAATGATATATTTTTTCTTGCTTATTTTCTTAATTTGTTGCCTGCATACTATAGAATATAAGCTCTGTGAAAGCGGGTCTTTGGCTGCCTTGTTTACTGCTGTGTCCCCAGTGCCTGAAAAGTGTTCAGGGAACGTTTGTGGGGTAAATAAGTTAATGAAGTGTCCTCAGCATGAATTGCGATTGCTTCTTTTGGTCAGAAGGCATCCAGGGTTCTGAGAGGGGAAGTGACTGTCCCAAATCCAATTCAGGTTTGTATCTTCTTTTTCCAGGCCCTTCCCGTAAAACCTGGTTGACACGCAAACCTGGCTGGGGTGAGGCTCCCAGGTGTGATGAAAGCTTGGAGTTGCCCCATGAGCAGGGCTGAGACTGGCTGATGTGGGAGTGAGAAGGCGGAAGGACAGAGCATGCCAAAGGAGAAGCAGGCTGGGGCAGGAGAGCAGGGTGTGAATCTGGCAGCGGGTGGGGGAAAGGGGGTGATTTGACCATGTGTCAGGAAGTGATTCCCTCCACCCTCCCCTGGGAGAGCCTTGACCCTGAAGTGGCTTGGTTTTGGGGAAGCAGGTGGTTAGGCAGCTGCTAAGGGAGGACAAAGGTGTGGCCTAGGCAGTGATCATCCACTGAGATCCTAGGCCGGATACTGATCACTCAAAGAGGTAATCCCACGGTGGCTCTTGGCCAAACAGGTGACAGGTGAGCCTCTATCTGAAACCAGCCCAACCACAACATGGAGCCTCAGACCTGGCCTAGGGGCAGGCAAGGGGTTTAGCAAAGGGAGGAAAAAGAGGCCTCTAGGAAAATAGAATGGTCAAGGTAGAATGCTTAGTGATAATAATAACTGATAACAAAAATAATAGATCACATTTCTTGAAAGCTTACAAATATGCCTGGCACAATACTAACTGCTTTATATGTGTTCCCTCATTCATTCTTCAAAAACTTCTCTACAAAGTAGGCTTTATCATTGTTGTTTTTGTTATCCCCATGAGAGATGTGGAAACTAAGTCTCCGTGAGATTAAGTATCTTGTCTAAGGTCACACAGCTGGTAGGAAAGGTGGGTCTTAAACTCAGTTCTGTAGTGATTGCAGTGCACTGTGGAAACCCAGGCCTGGGGAGGGTTGCTGGGACAAGTGAAGAGGGCAGAGCCAGATTGACCCCTGCAAAGGTGGGGGTAGGGAGGGGTAGACTGTGTATAAATAGCCGGCAGAATCAGGCAGTGCTCTATCTGGCACAATTTGAGGGCTCTGGATGTCAACCCAGCCCTGTGTCAAACACGTCCCTGGGAGCTGAAATATCTGCTGAGAGAGTCATTTCTTTGGGCCAGGACATTGACTCCAGAAGACCCCTGTAGAAATACATGGATTGGAAGAGAAACACCTAGTGCCTGCTGAGATACAGCAACCTAGGTTAGTCAGCCGTGTCCTATGGGAGGGAACCTCATTTCTTCTGTTGGGAAAGAAGGTGGCGTTCAAAGGCAAGGAAAAGTATAAGGCTTGTTTCACAACCTGTGTCTCTCCAATCCCCAATGCCTGGGAACAATAACCCATAGTTCAGAAATTCTAACGTTCCCTGGGGGAAAGATGTAGGGAATCCACGCCGGCATCTGGGAGAGTGTTAACTTCCTCTGCTTTTGCTGGCTTGAGACCAGGCAACTTCCACTCTGGTTATCTCGGCTCATGAGAACTGCTGGCGTTCATGTGTCTAATTTTTAAATGATAAGCGAATTAATTACTATTTACTACTTGCTTTGTTGGTAGTCAAAAAGGTGGGCTTCTGAATCTCAGATGATGACACGGGTGGACACCTCTGGGATGGAGCAGGGACGACCCCAGAGACCAGGCCCCAAACACAACTCGGGTCAGCGGCCACACGGTTGCAGCACGACATGCATTTGGGGAAAGGTAGGAACGGCGCCCCGCCACCTGCCTGCCAGCCGCCCCACCCACGCTCAGGCCGCGGCGGTCCTGGCCCGGCCCCCAGAAATGTGAGTGCCGTCCTCTTCCCCGCCCCTTTCTGCCGCCGCGCCCGC